TTGTGACAAAACTTGTACTATTAATAGAATGAAGGTCTAGATCAAAAAACGTTTTAATGGTGTAAAATCCATCTAAATCTGACTTAGATTTCTAATTACAAAATGGGAGTGATGGAACTCCTTGCTCAGCTACTGTAATGAGAGAGGCAGCATTTGGCCATTATTTTAAGTCAGCAGAACTGTATGTAAAAATAGATTTCTAAAAGCAGTGAGCTTGTTGTTTGGAGATCATATCTGTATGAATATAGCAAAAGACCCATAGGTACTATCAGTCAGTTAAATAATGCTGTTACTTTTGTTTAAAGACTTGTGACAGAACTTAGTATTTTTGAAGGGATAACACCTTATTGCACTTGGCATAGTTTTACTGTGATGAAAGTAAAACCAATATAGTACTTTACTTTTGGTGATGATGGTTGTAAAATTCCTGAAAGTCTGGAAAAAGTGAATTATGGACCAATGATGCTGAAGTGCAATAATGAAAACAATGAAAGCATTCAAGTTGTGACATGAATCAGTAGAACTGAGATTCCACTTACAGCCCTCTAGTCCGTTTTTATCGTGAAACTTACAGTAAGCTAATAACTGATTTGAAAGAAACTGGAATTCTTTATGTATATGGATTTTTAGCTTGGAAAAAACCCTGAGAGCTACTGTTTTGCACAAGCAGCTGCAGCACTCTTAGAATGTCCCTAGTATGAAGAATCTCTTATTACAGTAACTATGCTAGTAATCTGAGCTTCCAGAACAGTGAAAAAAGATTTGTTTCTCCCCCCCCCCCCCCCAATTTGGGTTTGGGGGCAGGAAAAATTTTAGACTCAGATCTTCCTTCAAACCACTCCTCTATATATCATCAGTAAGTCTGCTGCAGAAAAACTTTATGTAGTTTTGCAGCTTTGCTGTTGGGGTAGCTTAGAGCTGTCAAAGTGGGAACCTCTCTGCAGAGGTTTTTAGATAATAAACAAACATGTACAAAGGAACTTGGTCTCCTGTTTATGTAAGTAAAGAATACTCATGCAGATGTGAACATAGGCATGTAGCGAGTGGTACAAGAAGGTGATGTTTAATATTTTTCCCATGAAAAGACATGGTAAGATATCTAGCCCATATATGTTCTTCAAAATGTATACTAATCTACGTTATGTTCTTGTTTGAATTTATATTTCTATGCCAATCAGAAGAACACTGTATTTCAGATTATACTTCAGGCATTGTATTACACAGTAGCAGATAAGAGACTACTGTGACATGATAAGAATTCCACAGATACTCTTCTGAAATACTTCCTACCATCACGGTGATATATTATGGTTGCAACAGCTAAAACACCTGGTGACTCCTTTCAGGATTAAATACTTCAGTCTCATTACTTTCACCTGATTTCTAGCTTATGGCTTTCATGGGTGGTTATCTGTTATTAAACTGGCTTAACAAAACCTGTATTCTGCTGCAGTGTGGTGTATCAAGTTCACCTGAATTCAGAATGGTGTTTTTGCTAAACTCCAGGGATTTAAAATCCAGTAACCAGTGGTTTGAGCTGAGTTTGGTGGAGAACATACTCTACTGCAGGGTAGCAAATTAGTGTCAGCTGCTTTGCAGCACTTGCTTATGTGTACAGGCTGCATCTGTTAAGTGAGGCACAGCAATAGATAGCAAGTGGTCTTTTTATATACAGAAGTGATTGTTTTCAGAAATAGCAATGATATTATATGTAATCCTACAAGACAAACTTTTTCTTATGCTATTGTAGAAAAGTTAATTTAAATAATTTTAAATTGCAGAAGGATAAAGAATACATGGTTGATGGCTTAGAAACTTAAAGGATGATACGTGTGTATCATTGAATTGGCTTGATTGGACAAAAGAAAGGCTATAGCAGATCAGAGTAGACGTCCATCTAGCTGTCCCTGAGAGCCATCAGTAGCAGATGCCTAGTGTGGAATATAGGAGCATAACAGTCATGGGGTGCTACTTCCTAGACTGGTCTCTCAGATTCCAGCAAATTGTGGCTCAGGATCTTCTGGGAACCAGAACTTGTCTCCTGGATTTAATAGCCCTTGATGGGAATTCCTGATCTTGAGGTTATCCAGGGTTTTTTTAATACATGTATATTTTTAGTATCTGTGATGTCTTGTGCTGAACTTTCAGGATTTTGGCCTGTTTCAGTATACCGTGATTGCTTTTGAAGTGTGTTTTATTATTCGAGGTGGTATGTCATCCTCCACACTTAAGCATTTTCTTGATCAGTTAAGTAGCTTGAATCTTCTTGAAAGGAGAGAGATTTAAGAGTTTGGCTTATTTAGTTGGTTTGGAATTGGCAGTCAGAAGAATAGTAGGGACAAAAAAAAAAATTTGAAGTGGGAAACAAAATACTTGGGTCTCTCTCTTGCAGGTGATTAGCTTTGCTGCTCTTGTTCTAAATAGTGTTTCAAAGAATACACATTTTAAGTAATGTGTAGTCTGTTAGGAGAAGTGGAAGAAATGCTGCACTTGTATCAAACTGAAAAGAAAGAGTGTATTTTTATTTCTAAACTAACCATGGAAAAAGTATATGGTCCCTTTTGATGTTACTTTTTTTCTCAACTTGGCTAAGTACAGTGTTTGGGATCACTGGTAGTTAGTATTATTTCTAAAACAGCTTGTAAACATCATTAATTATATACTACACTGAGTAAATCCTGATTGAGCAGCCACTCTTTGCCACGTTAACTATGTCAGGAATGTTATGTCATAGATCAGTAAATGGTAGTCTTATCTTAAAGGAAAGACTCAATCTTCATGGTTTGTATGTAAAAATGCCGTATACTCAAAATTACCATGTTTATCTTTGAGCAGGAGATATTTTGAAACTTCCAAGTACATAGTACATGCTCTTTTAAACTTTCCAGATAGTTAATAATCGTCATGTTTGTGGCATGTATATGAAGACACATAATTTTAGGTAAATGTTACATGTGGAGGAGACTCAAAGCAGTAGCACCTGTAACTCGTAAGTGGAATCTTTATGGGATAAAACTAATTGCAACGCTTTTCCTGCAACAAATTTTCATGCTTTTTTAAAAAATTAAATACATACATGTGCATGTTGAAAACATGAGGTTTTTGTCAGACAGGTGCTTTTCAGGCACCTTGTGACACTTGTTCCTTGGTTTCACTGTGCAAAAAAAGTGGAGCAGGGGCTGAAAAGCCTCTCCTACTAGGCATGCATTTACACTGAGGTTCTGTGCTTTTTTTTTTTTTTTTAATGTATATGCTGGCTTTCTTCCTTGCAGATTCTCTCAGATTTTTTCTTATGGAGATTCTCTCCATTGAGTCATCTGTTTGTCTTTATACTCAAACTGTTTTACTCTGGTGATTCAGAGCAGCTGTAAACTGAGTTTGCCAGGCCAGTGTTATCAGTGAATTGGTGAACTGGTGAGACGACTGTTAATTTACCAAAAAATGTCACAGAGAGAAAGCTTGATACTGGCTTGCTTCCATATTATTTTAGATATCACCTAGGAATATTATTTTTAAAATTCTTGATTAAAGTTAGTGTATTTTTTAATAGAAAAAAACCCCAGGATTTAGGTAAGAGATTGTTTAATGATACTGAAGATCTTTAAAATATTTTGTAACTCCACACTTTTTATAAAGAAGCTTGACAACAAAGCTCTGTGACCCTGTTGAAAGAGATGATAATTCTGCAGGCAAAGAATGATTGACTACCACAGGAAACATCACAGCTGATTTTAGTCACTATAGCAACTTTTAGAAATTTTTTTAAAAATTATATTGAAGTGGTTTATCAAAGATGATGGGTAACTTTGCTGAGAAATAAGATGAAAATCAGTGCTGCTCTGTGTAGTGCAAGAATGGAAGAGGAACAAAAAGAATTTATCCTTTGTGGAAAAATTTCCAAAGGAGAACAAAATTGTAGGCTTTGTGGGCTGTAAAGGCTAACTTTCATGTTAAGTTATGTTGTAAACTAGCTAGAACTATATAGTTTTTGTGACATACCTGAAGATTCATTGTGGTGTTTAATAAAAAATAGTATTTTTGTCTTTTGATTAAAGGGCTTAGTCATAATATTCCAACTTCATGTAATTATTAATGCTGTATCAAATTAGTGTATAAGTAAGCATGATTTGATTAGACCATTATTGGGGAAGAGGTCCTATGAAATTCAGATCTAATCTTTTCCACCCTGCTGGAACAGTGTCTTCAAAAAAGAAATTCTTGGATCATCTTTTCTCCTTATTTTTCTAGAAAACAGATGAACATGTTTTAAATGCCTTTGGCTTCAGTTACAACAGTATAGAAAAGGATAAAGAATACAATTTATATAACTGAAAAAAATTGAATATCCTGAAAGTTAAAGTTAACTCCCTATGTGAGACAAGCTCATGTTGTTTTATTGGTGTTGTATGTTGAGCAGCATGAGTCTTCTGTGTGCTGGTTTGGCTATAATGCCAAGTAAAAAGTCTGTAGTTGTGAAAGGATTACTTTGAAGGAGTCTTTCATAACATGTAATATAAGGCTTGCCATGATTTTATTATTTGAAGGTGTGTATTACAAATGCTTTAATTATTTCAGGCCTTTTAAAGTGAATGAATACAGTAACATAATTAAAAGAACAGTATACTACATTACTTAACGCTTTTATCTGTATTTTGCCATAATCAGATGACTATATAACATTTATGTGAATCTTTTTTCCTTTTTTTTCCTTCTTGTTTTTGTGAGAAATGAATGTGTATTTGAAAGCATGCTTTTCAAGTACCATTTGCATCTCTCTTCCTTTACCCTCTAAAAAGGCATATTCTTCTGAATCAGAATTTGGTACAAGGGCAAAGCTTTTCATATGCCTATGAGATTCATGAAAATAAGCGTGTTTTCCATAACTTTATTTTTCACAGGTGTTTGTCACATATTTGTTGCATATAAAGCTCAGTGATTCTTCTGACAACTTTAAATGTTCTGCAAAACTGTGTAGTACTGCTGTGTGTTCATGTTTACAGGCTGTACATCTGGCCCAGGCAAGTTTCCAGATTGAGGCCTTTGGCTCCAAATTCATCCTTGACCTCACACTGAATAAGTAAGTGCACAATTTGAGGTTTCTTTCTTTCCTGCTCTTGTCTTTAACTTATGGTACAAGGTCAGGGCATGTGAAATCCCAAGATCTGTGGAAAAATATGCTGTTATCCAAGTTTATTAATACAAAATAACATCTAGCCTTTTTAGAGCAAGCTAACTGTTATCCTTGCTGATGCCTATAACACACATACCTTTAAAATTTTATAATTCATCATAAAATAAATGATGATGGAGAGATTCCAGTACCAGTAGTGCTTGAAAGGTGTGAATTTTCTTGTGCATTTTTTTACTTATTGATGAACTGTCATGCAGATGTTGTTTTAGTTGCTCAAGTTGATGTGTAGGAATATTGTAAATACTTGTATGAATGGCTTATCTTTAATGATCTGGAAAACATGCTGTTGTCGCTATAATCATGAAGTTCCTAATGAGGTGGGAATCCTAACAGTTTGGCTGTACTGAAAGGTGTGGCTAGAGTCTGTCCACCAGTAAGATAGACAATTTTACGTAATCGTCAGGTCTAGAAGATCTGACTTGTAATACGGGTCAATGGCACTTTAGTTGTTTATATCACATCTATTTATATCCCCAGCTGAAGGTATGGAACTATGTTTTTCTAAAAATTGTAATGAAGTTTTTTTGCCACTGAAAGTTTACACTGAGAAAGCTTAAGAATAAGGTGGAAGTATAAAATCAGTACTAAATTCTGGACCGGTAAGATTATCTACAGTGTTGCTTAAAAGTGTATTTATTTACCCCTTCTGCTGCCCTTGAGCCTTTCAGCACAGTTAAAGGAGAAACAAATTTACAGAAACAATTGCATAGTGTTTTTAAAAAAAACCAAAACATGTTCCTCTGGTCTTGAGGTCCATATGAGGTCTTACTTTGGTCTTAACTGTCACGTAATGAAAGTTTTGTTAGGGAGAAAAATGCAAGCTTATTAAATCTAATAGCTTTTCAAAGCAGCAAGATATGGCTTTATAAAATTTGCTGAACTGTTACATTCACATATTTTGGTGCTTGGCTACTAGTTATCGGATGTTTTGCTGTAAAGGTGAACTGGGAACATTTTCCTTCATCCAGGCATGATTTTGAAGTTAGGCTGCTCTTGCAGTTCCGTCTTTTAAAATGTGACACAAAGTCTGGAGTGGCTGGGAAAAGAGGAGTTAATATGAAGGCAGAGAATGGCACGCAGAATGGAAGGAGAAAGAAAGCTTGAAGATAATTGGGTGTTCTCTAGCCTCTGGAAGAACTGTAGCATAGTGCAAGACTACAGTGTTTCAGGAGAGCTGGAGCTGGACCCATGCAAAGTAGTTTCTAGTGGGGTAATCATGACATTTGTGAGGGAACCTATATCTAGTGGCCTCTAAGCTACAGGGAATTTCTCCTCTTGGTCTGCTTGCCACTGTTCCTGTTTGCATGTCCAGCCAATAGCGAGACTGAGCAGATTCCCAAGATGGCACTAAACATAGGGTATGGCTGGTCACACAGATCATCACAGAGAAAAAACATTGCCTTTACTGGCACCATGTGTAAACACGAACAGCACTCAGGTGAACAAGAATAGAAACAGCCTGATAAAGTTCTCCAGGTGATGGGAACTGGAAGCTTGCTAGTGAAATGCGCACACCAGCCCTCTCCTGATTCACAAGCATGCCCACATTCAGACTCAAATGTTAACACAGGCTTTAAGTTGATCAAACATTCATGTCTAGGCCTGAGGTCTCTTTATCACCGGCTTAGACCTTAGGTCTTTCTAGATACAGGTCTTCTCATAGTTGTTGACTGACCCTGAAGTTTGCTTGCACATCACACCTATGCAGAATAGAGAGCAAAGTCACTCAGAAGATATGAGTAGGACTCAATAAACAGAGGCCAGACTGTAGCGATCAGGTGTGGGGCTGGGCCAAACAAATACTGACTTGCACCTTACACTAGTGACTCCTTTTTATGCCACTTCCTCTCCATTTTCCCATGCTTGTTCTCCTGATTCACCTTCCCTACCTCTGGCGCTTCCCCTGGACATCCCACAAAAATGTTTGCACATTTCCACAAGCCCCTGCAGACATCCTGTAATAAGTTTTTTCTTTCCCAGGACACCAATGATGACATTGTTTACCACTTCTTATCTGTTCTAAAGTTCTGGTTGAATCTCTTCAAGGCCATGCCTGAGTGGCTCTTTCCATGGCCTGTCAGTCAGTGACCTAACAGAGATAATTACAAAGACCAGAACTCTTATCTTCTGTTCATTAGGGTTTGTGAGTCTGAGTGTTGGTTGCTTTTCCTGTCCTAGTCCCTTATGCTGAATGGCTGTTAACCAAATACCATCACAAATCAGATAGCCTTACATTCCCCACACCCTTGCAGTGTTAACCATTGTCCAGCCCTGCTGTTTGTCCTTGCTTATTTATAACAACAAAGGGTCCATAAAGAAAGTAAATGTACATATTTTTTCTAACTGTGGTTCCTTTATCAGCAATCAAGAAATGCAATATCTTTCACTTCAAAAAGAGAGAGGAAGATCACTTGCTGTGTACCTTATGCAAAGAAGTTCTGCTCTTGGGGTATCGAGAATTTTCTTACTGGCTATGTGTAAGGTGCAGGGTGTTCAGGTGCTTTATTGGTACCCCTACCATTTGCCTCTATACATCAGGTTTTCTCCTAGCTTCCTATGTGGCTTTTGACTCATAAATGTTTAACTCTTGATCTGGCTCTGCTCCAGAAAATAATGACTTCAAAAACCTGCCCTACTTCTTGACCTGACATAAGACTCTCAAACCGTAAGTCATAAAACTTGTAACATCTTAACTTGTAAATACCCGCAGACAATGATTTGAAAAAGACCCATTCAGTTACATTTATGTGTTCAGCAAAATCCTGCCTTTTGCTACTATGTTGGATTACAATGAATTTTAGTTGGCATACTGGTATTACTAATGTCTGGTCAGAAGGAAAGGCAGAACAACAACAGGGCCACAGACTTGATCTGTTATGTGCTGTTGGCCAAAATAATCCAGTCACATGTGGAATATGTATTCAAAATCTGGAATACCCTTGGATATGTTGAATGTATATTTGTGTCAGTTACTCCAAGGTGAGTTAATGTCTACTGCTCTGTGTGTGTATTCTGGTTTTGTCCCTTTTTTAGGAAAGTTCTTTGAGTATATAAAGCTAAAATCAGAGGATTGTTGTTGCCTACAAAACAGATTTTGGTTTTAAGTTTTCTTTACCTTTGTTGGAATCTGTGTGGTTGCCTACCTTCTATGTTCCAGCTGCTCTTTTTTTCACAGCAAGTAGTATAACCAGGAGGTGAAGAAAATTGGATATTCACTTGCATTAGTAACTGTCAGGATTTTGTAAGAAGAACACATGGCAATCTGGAAGTTTCTGGAGCACGTTAATATAAATTCTTACTTGATGTTTTCTATCTTGCTATAGTGCAACAGCACAAACAGCTTGAAGGGAATACAAGCTCATCAAACCTCTTGAATCCAATGTGCAGAGACAATTCAAATGTAAGATTTGTATGGAATTTGAATGGGTAATCAGCTTTTCAGTTGCACAAGGCCTACAAATGTTAAAACAGATGAAATATAATTTGTTATTCTGAAGGTCATTGTTTGCAGCTTTTTCTGACAAGAAGACTCAAGAAAAAAGATTAGTTTTGAACTCTAACAACGTGGGCTACTCTGAAGTTTCAGACATTTTGCCCCTCGTTACACTTAAATGTTTGACCAATTTCAGGCTGTCAGTGTGATGTAATTTATGACAATGCATAATAACTGCAGATATGTGGATTATGGAAGTAATTTGATGCAAAAAATAATACTTTTTCTAATCTGTAATGGATTAAATAATGTTTTTAGTTAATGCTCTTACTACAAAAATGAAAGATTATAGGGTACTAGTGGGGTAACGATTAACCCCATTTGAAAAGTTAGACTTTTTATAATTCAGCTCTGATTGCCCAAACTCAATAAATTTCCTATGCAACAAGTAACATGTACCATTGTCTTAAAACCCAATTTATATAAAAAGCCTTTAAAAGTGTTCATTAATTTCAGTAAATTCATATTTTTGCCCTCAATATTGTTAATTAATGGTTGTAACAATGTAGTTGAATAATCAATGATCCTAGGATATCTGAACAATTTCTTACTTTTTTCATTTATGTATTATATACACAATGTATATATACATAAATGTATATAATACACAAATGTCTGTGAGGTGCTAACAAATTACTTTTTAATGATCTGTTTTCCACCAATTTGTAAAAGGCTTTTAAGCTGCTGCTCTTCTGTTGAAGGCCAAGTATTTCTGCAGGTAACTCTTATGTCCTGTTTAAAGCTAGCAGTCTTTATGTTTTGATGTAGTACTAAAACACATCAGAAAGCAATACTACCAAAAGCTGTGAATTAAAAATGTCTACTTGCTATTTTTTTGAGTGATGAGTATATTGTCTGGCAGTTTTCAGCCAATGGTCTAGCACCAGTCTCTAAGTAAGGAGTCACCTCCAACACTGGGGGCTGGGACCATGCTTTCTCTCACTGGGACTGTGGTGTCTGAGGCCCATACAACGAATGGGGAATTAGGTACCTGAGCTGGACAGAAACAGAAGGTAAAAACCAACGACAAAAAACTTCTGTCCCTTCCTACTGAAAAATTCCCTCCAAATTTAGGATTCTGGGGGAAGGGGGGAAAAAAATCACCAAAACCAGCCTGTATTTTTCAGCTTTTCTTTCTTTTCCCTGTAGAAGTCTACCTTTCCAGGAAAATGGATTTTTCTTTTCAATTAAGAGGTCATATGAAAAAAATCTGGCATCTTTGGCATGAACTGAGAAAAAACCCCTACCATGTTTGACTGTAACATGACTTAAATATTTGAGACCTTAAAATATGATGACTATTGTGAGCAGTCAGTCTTTGAAGTGCAGCATTACAGCCAACATATTACAGCCAATTTTATCCATCAGTTTAAAGCTTATAATTGTTGTGTAG